ACCGTTGCGATTTCAAGGCAGTGTTTGTGTGAGGTAAAGTCTAACCCCACAACAGATGGAGGGTGTCTTGAGACCCACAAAAGGTTGTGTGAATCACAACTCAATTCCCCGGACCATTTGTACAATCAAATCTTGGAAAACTAAGATCATCAGGGCGAGATAAGAACCAGGGTGCATATGTTTGAAATGCATTGGTTTTCTACTAGCATTACATTTTGTTCTAGATCAGTCCAGCATTGGGTTGAAGTACAGATTTGAGGCACACAAATACTGTGCTACTTCTGTATTTGCTGCTGATTTCATCAATTACAGCCATAATTGTTCAGATATTGGGGTTTAATTTCAATTAGCCGAGTGTTTGACAGCAACTGCTTACTCTGAGCTTTTTTATTACGATAGGAAAATAATGTTCTCATAAAGCAAAAATCTCCCAGCAAATCAGTTCCACAAGATACTAACGTTCTTCCAGGATGCCTTGGACTGGATGCTGTCTCGGCTGTCCTCCGACAGGTCCGTCACTTCCAGCTGCTTCGCCTGAAACAAGGAGAATTTTATAATGAAAATTAATTAGGGGTGTAACCAGGATACCCTCATGTCATGATACGATATTATTGCGATACTCAAGAGATATGATAAAAGGTTAACAAAAATGAACTGTTGATTAAAATGCTATTAATTTGGCATTACATTAGGTGTGTAAATGAATCAGCTTGGACTCGGTGCTGAAACCCAAAGCACAGACAATAGACACACCAGAATAACAATATTTATGATTCTGAAGATGAAAATACAATATTTTAGACAAATATGCTTGCACTCTTTCACTGACTAGATATATTTAAAATAATGATGGTCACTTTTTACTGATAACATAAGACATAACATAAGGGATTATCAGGACACACACATATTCCCCCATTGCATTATATATATAGCAGTTTAATGTACTGACACTAAAAAACTTCTTTCACACACAGTATTTGTCATTTTGGGTGAATTATTGTCACTATCCATGATGCATATTGTTGCATTTACACCCCTAAAAATAATCATTATGCATAACAACACTGTCAAACAAGAAAAATAAAACGATTAATTATTGCTGTTAAATTGTACAATATATATTACTAGTATTATTAATAATAATAGTGCATCGAATAAGAAAGTAATCACTTTGATCATTATTTTTCATATGAGCTATGGACTTAAGTATTAACACATTATATTTCTTTTTAATATGATCGTTGGGCTTTATTATTACCATCATCGTTCTTATTATATTACCTTAAAATATATTCATACATTTAAAATAAAGACCATAAACAATGTAAAGTTAATTTTGTAGTGATCAGCACATGCAAATCATAAACATCAACAGTTTTCACTACACGTTTGCTGATGGTCTGACTCAGTTAATATGCATTATGTCTTCTGCATGTAGCTGTATATTATGTGTGTGTACTGTTGTGTTAGTGCAGCAACTCAACTTTTGTTATCGTCGCTGTTTGTGTCAATAAGAAGGAGCACATTTTAAAATGGAAAAAATTCCCTTTCCCTCTTACCTTCAATGACGCTTTGCGGGTTCTGACCATTTTAAGAAATAAAGTGATTTTTCGTGCTTATCAGTGTATGTAATGTGTGTGATTAAAACTCTTTAATGAATGAATGGTTTAAAAAACAACACGAGCGGAGAGGAGGCCGTGAGGAAACGGAGGGGAGACTGTGTGTTGGGTCCATCACTAAAGATGCCAGCAATTCACTTTCAAATCGATTAAGTGACCGACTATGCATTAAATAGTACATATATAGACATTTAATAGAGTTTAGTACAAAAATAAGTCTCTGTACTTGACGTCGATGAGAGCGTTTAATCTACCGCCTCCCCCCGCGATCGCGCTTGGGTCCTGAATGGAACAGTCCAGAATGCGACGCTCTGCAGTTTCGCGGGAAATGCCTCGTGAACACGCACATCACTCACCTCATCATACAAAGTGCATATATTGCAATTATAACTGTAGCTAAAGAGACCGTAAAAGATCTTTTGAAGATAAGTCTATTAAACATCGATCCATAAACTAGTCTGACTGAATATATTATGGTTTATTTTATGTCAGTATATTATAGACGACCATTTATGGAGTTGAATAGGAAGAGGCAGTTGAGGAAAAAGCTTTGATGAATGAAAGACTGAAAACTTTCACAGAGACCAACAGAGCTATAGTGGTTTAACCTGAGTGTTTATCTCACAGGAAAGTGCTTTAGGTTTGCACTCGGCTTTGTTGAAAACAGTAGAAAGATAGTAAGAACGTGCAATGTTAAGAGCTTATGAATCTGATGGCCAAACAATTTGGGCATCTAGACACTCAATGGATTATATGTTATTAAAGTCCCCATGAAATCAAAGGACAATACTTATCATATTGTGGTATTCATTATAAACATTATATTTATCTGTGCATCTTTTTCTTCTTTTTAAATAAATGTCTTTATAATCTTTAATCAAAATAACTTCTCTGATGACATGTTCACTGGCTCTAGGGCGGGACAACCTGTCACTCGAATGAGATCCACCAATAAGTGACAAAGATCCAATCATCCAATAAAGTCCCCATGGACAAAATCAAGCCCCGCCATACATTTGTTCTAGTTCGAAAAGCAAAAAGGAAGAAAAGACTATTGAAACGTCCATGCTTGTCGACTTTCACATGCGCAAAATGCCTTTTTTGGCTTTGGCTCAGATTATGACTGGTTATAAGCTCAGGTTTTGAGGTTGGTCCAGGTTGGCACGGATGGCCAGAATGCTGTTGGGGTTTTCAATCTTTAAGATGCCATGCAAGGCAAAATGTTATATTTTTTTTCATGTATACATTTTTGGTTTCTATCAGTGTAATGCAAGTTTGCTGTAATCAGATTGCTTTTTCAAGTAACTAAAGTAACACCTTCCTTTTAAATTTATACATTTCAAATAAGTCATGCAAGTTACATTGTTTTGCCATGTATTGACTGACAGATCTGACAGGGCTATCAAACGATTCATCGTGATTAATCACATCCAAAATATAAGTTTGTGTTTAAATAATATATGTGGGTGCACTGTGTATAATTATTTTGCATATATAAATACACACATAGGCTATGTACATTTAAGAAAAAATATTATTTATATATAAAATATTTATATACAATATAAATTATATATAAATCTATATACAGTATGAAACAATTTCTTAAATGTATACAAGCATGTGTGTATTTATATATATAAAATAATTATACACAGTGCACCCACATATATTATGTAAACACAAACTTTTATTTTGGATGCGATTAATCGCGATTAATCGTTTGACAGCCCCATCTTCTGCGATCCAGTATGGCAGCAGAGCTGAAAGGTTTGCTGGAGTGGCGCCCTCTACTGTACAGGTGAGAGTTTGCATTTCCTTCGGCTTGAGGATTATTCACTTCACTTTTGGTGTGAAAGAGCCTTTACATTTGTCAGAAATAGAACTTTTGTGCATGTGTGTGTATGTTACTTTCAAAATAAAATTTCCCCAACACTGGTTTCTATTACATAACATTGTTACGCATTATACACATAATGCTATTCTGTTACTTGCATTATTTATTTATTTCAATCTACATTTAATAATTTATATTAAATCTATTGTTTACATAGTTTTTAGATATGTATTTTTTTTTATCATGCTTTGTGTTTGCATCTCTTTTATCTTGAGTGTGAAGGAAGCCGGTTTTCTGTTGTAAATTAATGAAATGATTAATAAAGTCGTTGGAAGCTAAGCCTCGTGTAATCCTGAGCGGTATTGTTGTATTTGACGTGTGATTGCTCTGGTTGGATGCGCGTCTCTTCGCCCACAGATAATGTTTTCTGCTCAATTAGTGGCCAGTGAGGCGCTTTTTCTCGTTTGTCAGCACAAACACCTGCATCCGGAGACGTCCCCCATCAATACTGCTTAATTCCGCAAACCTTCACTTATGCGCTCAGTAAACGGGCGCGCGGATGACAGCGAAATGATACGGTACCGGCGCAATGCGCGCGGGAAATCACAGTGCGCGCGGCCCACCCGCGCAGCGCGCCATTTCACAGCAGGTAGCGGCACATAAAGAAGGAAAATTACCAACAGCTGGTTAAGCTTTGTTTAGCTGCTTTCTTTTGTGTTTTCAAGCACTTGACACACAAAGTCAAAGACAAACCAGTGCCTGTGTCACACACACATCTTCTGTATGCGCGCGCGTTTAGGTCTACTAAAGAGACAACAACTAGCTTCTAGTGAGCTGCCTACCTACTGTAGACAGCTTATTTTTGGGGGCTGTGTCTCAAATTCAAGCTAGCTGTATTTTGGGAAGAAGCTAACGAGCAAGCCAGGTTGCTCTGTGTATTATTACCACAATCATGTGTCTTCTTGATTGTTCACTATAATCACTGCACACTTTCATGATTATAACTAAATTGATATTAGGTTTGTATATTTAGGACCATTAAAACGTTTTTTTTACAGCACAGAATTATAATTAAATGTAGAGACACCTAAGAAAGTAAACAACAAAAATGTATCAAAAGATAAATAAAAACACCCAGAAAGTATGAGACAATATTCAAAGTAAGCAGAGCGCATTAAAGTGAGTCGATGGCGACCTCTAGAGGCAGTTGTGGAGAACTGCTATTTCACACTAAAGAAATACAATGCTCTCACGGGGAAAATATTAACATTAAGGCGTATTATTTTCTTAACATAATGCCGTTGTTTTTACATTGAATTTTTATAATTTGTTAATTTATTTATTTGACTGTTCAAATTGTTGCTTAAAAGACTTTAAATAGGCTAAAAGTAGTAGCCTATACGTCTGTCATGTTACAAGAATCTCTCTGGTTAAACGAGTTTGGAAAGATTGTATCTTTTGCTATGACCGATTTGTGTGCGTGTGTGCTAAATAAAACTAGTCTGACGAGGATAAAGAAAACGATACAGATGTACACACATTTCTAAAGGCTGTTTCCCGCAGGTGAACTAATGCACCTGTCTGTCGCGTGGAGCACATGACCGTGACGTCACGGCAAACGCACAACTTTCATTTCAAGCGTTTATATGGGAATGAAAATACTCCTGCGCACTGAAAATGGGATGTTGTTGTTCCTCTCCCGGTGGAAACGATGAGGTAAGAGTATGATTTTTATGGATATGCCTGTTTTTATTTTGCAGGTGGATTAAAAAATTAATACGATAAAAAACACGAACTATTTTGGAGCAAGACAGTCATAGGTGAATAAGCTACAAGACAAAAGACGTTGACGTTGTTCTCTTTCACTAGTTTTAAGTTAAGGAAAACGCATAGGCTATATATTATGACTACATATTATCAGTATCACTCTTTGTCTTTTTCAAACTGTTTTCACGGCCCAGTAGTTCAGGACACAAGCCTTTCAACTCACTGTAAAAGTAGGTCATCTGTGGGGCTTGTCGAAAGAGGAAAGTAAATATTAAGCAAGAATATGATTATAGTAAACGTATTGACTGTAAGATTCAGGAATTATGTCTGAAGGAACGGCTCCCTTACGGAAAAGAAGTTTATTCAAGTTTGCTATATAGGCTAGGCTATAGCCAGGCTACTTCTTTTAAACTAAAAATAAGAAATATAATTTCAGTTTTATTTACATGAAATATGACGTGAAATATACTTTATGTAGGCCTACTTCTCATAAATATGGGGCTACATATATTGGCTTATGATTGCATTTAGGCTAATTGATTTAGGCTATATTTGGCCTATAGCTATCTTTTGATCGAGATATGCTTAAAAGTATAATTAAGTATTCTAAGTATTCTTGGCTTGTAGTTGTGTTGTTTAGGCTACTCTTTTGAAAACTTATTATAAACTTATATTGTTTTAAAATTTTGATTTGTAAAAAAAAACAGATACTACTTCTCCCTACTTCTGAGTTGTTGAATGTGTGTGTCTTGTCCACTGGTAGTGTACGAAGGGATTTATTTTAACTTTAGCCTACTCTTTCCTCGCCACTGACTGGCTCTCAGTGTTCTCACTGTTATACGGTAGGGGGCGCTGTTAAATCTCTTCTAAAAGAGTACAGATTGAATCTCCTGACCAAAACGCAGGAAAAGAAGCTGAAATAAGTGAAAAAATAATAATCATCAAACATTAAACAACATATGTTCATACATACCTCTCGTTACCGAATGAAATGTTGAAGACATGACGTGGAAAGCACTGTGAAGCTTTGGGGTGTCGATGAACTCGATCTGCTCCATCTGTGTTTAGTATTATCGTTCTGAATCCCATCCGGACGTCTTTGAAAAAAAAAATTTTGACTAACGTTACATTTTTTTAGTGAAACTTACCGACATTCAGTTGTTGATAAAAAAAGATGATGCACGAAGCTAGAATAAAAAAATATTTTAAAGTGGAAAGAATTAAAGTAGCCTACAGTTAAGGTTTGTATAGCCTAGGCTATTTCAAGTGCAAAAATAATAGCCTACTGATAGTTTACTAGTCAAATACTTGTAGCTCATTTTTAGTTAATGAAAGCACACTTTAAAGTACATATACTCTCAGGAAACTACTGGTTTGGTCGTTTTTATAGCCTACAGCAAGTCTACTAGTTTTTCATTAAGTGAACATAACACTTATAGTTTAGCCTACTATTTATATAACTGCGGTACAAATGAGAAATGTAGTTGTGAACTCAAAGTTTAGCCTACTATACACACACTTTAAATATAGGCTACTATATTTTATAAAATATAAAAAATATAAAATATTTACTACATTTATAAAAAGTGAGCCAATTTGGTCCCAAGTATCAAAACACTCATAAGTAAACTTCTAGTACATTATTACTTATTAGACTACTTACTTACTATACTTAAAATATAGCTACTTGAACTTTACTTAAGTATGCTTTTAAGTTTGATAAATGATTTTTTTTGTTTTAATGTCATTTTTCAGAGACAAGCTTTGCTCCAGGCAAACAGTAAAACACAAATTGAATCTGCAAGACAATCACGTCCAGCAGCTAATGGTCAGTATCTATCTATCTATCTATCTATCTATCTATCTATCTATCTATCTATCTATCTATCTATCTATCTATCTATCTATCTATCTATCTATCTATCTATCGATCGATCTATCGATCTATCTATCTATCTATCTATCTATCTATCTATCTATCTATCTATCTATCTATCTATCTATCTATCTATCTATCTATCTATCTATCTATCTATCTTTCTTTCTTTCTTTCTTTCTTTTATCAGGTACAGATCAGAAGAGCGGCAGGTTTACTGCCCGACATGTTGGCGTGAATGACCTCGATGAGCGTTTCAATGACGTTGCTGAAACGTTCAACAAACAGCAGGAACACTATGAAACTATGAGGAACATGCTTCAGACTGTTGCAGATCGCTACAAATGCCCGACTAATGACAGTCTGACCCAGTGCCTGAACAAAGTCAAGCAGGAACATGGTAAGAGACCCTCACACACTGCCTGCAGGGGGCAGCACACACACATCAGCAACTCATGCATCTCACAAAACACTTTATTCATGATGGACTATTACAAATAGATTCTCTCTAGGATTAATATGAAACATAAAAAGCATAAAAGTAGCACATAAGGTTTATGTTGCATTTTATTAATGGTATTTCAGTGGTAATTTTGTGTATGGTTAATAAGTACCCCGAGTTAAACAGTACTTGTTGTTTAATCAATTTTACTCAACTATTAACTATTTGTAGTTTATAAATGTCTTTGTTTGTATTCTTTTTTAATATTATTACAGTTATGCATTTAATTATGTATTGTAGTTAGTCATTCCGAATACTCCTTTTATATAGTAAGTAAACATGATTTTGGTGTCTTGCTAAAGGGTGAATGTGAAACCTTGATTTCCAAGTGACATCTTTCACTGTCATTTCCTTTATTATGGAGTATCCTCTTAATTTGTGTCTCACTTCCCCTGCATTAGAGAACTGCTACATCCGTCTGGAGGTTAAAGGATATGACTTCACTCTGATGGTGAGGTCAGAGGCCGAAATCCCCAACGGCCTGAAGATGACGAAAGACAACATCGCAGAGCTGAGCAAAGCGGCCAAAGCCATCATATCTGTGGCCACTAAACTCCAAGAAATGATCGATTGGCTTCTGAAGAAGGAGGACTCCATGATCAAACAGGTGGAGTCCACAGAAAACAACAACCAAGACAAGAAAAGGCTTCTGGACAACCTGAATGAAAACCTCCGAGAGGCACGGAGAGCGAAAGAAACGAGTCCGAGGTACAGGAAGGAGGCTGGGAATCTTCTCAATGAGGCCGCGGTGCTGTCCGGCATCACACCGTGAAATATATCATGTATTAATATGAAGAGACGGATACAATACAAGGACATAAAACCTGACCAGTATAATACAAGTATAGAATTATAGGCTGATGAAGGACTATAATATATATATTTATAAGATCTAAAAAAATATATTAGTAGAAATAATACGACCATTTTCCATTTACTCTAAGCATAAAGAGGTGACCCAAGTACAGAAGAGAAGCCATTTGTTATTTTACATCCTCTTTTGTGTGTTTCCTGATGGGTATTTTCCACTAATGAGCCAGTTTCGTTTCTAAAAGCACTGTCATACTTGTAGAGAATCAGTCCTCGTGGCTGTGAATGTGAATATGAGTGTATATGAATTATTGATCTACAGAGTAGAGGAAAAACAATCGTGAATACTTTGTAACATTTTCATCCATATTTTAAATTTGTCAGTTTTATTTTGTAATTAAATAATTCATTTGTTTATGTTAGAACGATTTTGCCTGTTAAATAAATTTATCAACATTTACCCTTTTTCTATTTATTATCAGAATAGTTTTTGTTGCAGCATAGAATAAAAGTTAATATGTTGATGATTATCTTAAACCGTTTTAATAATTAAATTGGACTACCTATTGTTATTTTTATCATTGATAGTTAATATTTTGATTATCATTAATTATATTTCTGTTTTCCCTTTAATTTGAACGTTTTAGTAATTTTTGTGTGTTTTTGTACAATTTATTACAATTTTCTAAATATGTTTTGCATATAATTTGTATACATTTAACTAAGTCAAACTAAATTAAAATGAGTAATGTTGCCTTGGCAAGTTTTTTATATATTTTATTTTATTTCAACCATTCGTTCTCCAGTCACTTCATCCTTCAAATGTCCAATGAACATTTACTTGATTTCTTTTTTTTATTTTATTTTTTTAGTTAACCATTATACATGAACATGGGTGAATTCAGGTTGATCACGACGCTATTTCCCAGTCAACTCAATGCCAAGTGTCCAAATCACCCTGAATTTACCCTATATATCATGTACAAGTACCATAGTGTATACCATTCCCTTATAATAGACCACCACGGTGTTTTTAGGACAGCAATTATCCTTAACCTTTATAATCCTATAATGTTAAGACATCCATCAGGCAAAGTGAATTAAACATCACTAACAAAAAAAACCCCGACTATGGTAAACCAAATATATCGTGAAAGTAACATGATAGGTCACAGTATTGTAGTATATATTAAAGTACTGTATGGTGTACAGTGGTAAGTTGTTTGTATGCCTGCCTGCAATGCTACTTTCCTTATGATTCGACTTATTTGTATGCAATTTGCTCTTTTTAAATATTTTAAATTAAATTTATGTACTTATATGGTCAAATTTAGGACACAAAACTTGTCTATTCCTTCATTAATAACGCATGGCACATTACTGAATATATTTAACAGTAGTTACAATCGACACAGTCTACCTCGCTAGTGGAAACCGTGTAGCCCCGCCTCCCGAACCATTTGATTGGCTGCTATTTGTGGACACGACGCTGGACTTTATATGCTCTTCCGCCATTGGCCCGTGCCGCTGTCAATCAGAAATCCTAACTCGCTCCATGTTAGACTGAAGTGTGTGAAAGTACTGGTGAAGGACTCGTGTGTGTTCAGATATTTCAGCGCGTTAATGGACTAACCGAGTCATAAACGAGACGAGCGGCAGAGAGACTGTGCATATAGCATGATAAGTGAGTATTATGTTTAATACTGCCTTCGTTTAAGCTTTGAATTTGTCTCCTGTACACGCACCGATGGCGTGGCGGTTCATCTCATGTGTTTGACTAAACAAACTGAGCTTAGAGAAGCAGCTCTGATGAGTAAACTCATTTATGTGTCTTTGCAAACTTCATATGAACAAGCACAGATGTGGACATGTTAGATGAGAAGGGTTAATGGAGGACAGACATTGCTTTAGCTGTTTTAAGCAGTTGGCGTGCAACACAGTTATGCACGAGCTGTCATTGCTGAATTGTGTGTGAATGCAGGTATGCAAATGTGTTTGTTTGTATGTGTTTGCATGTTTAAACGCTTGTTTGTGTGTATCCACACAGGTTTGATTGTCAATGTATGTATTTGAGTGTTTGTGTTACATGTTTGAGTGTGTATGCATGCATGCATTTAGGTGAGAGTGTTTGAGTATGGATGGATGTGAGCCTTATGCCTGCATGCAGTTGTGTAATAATGTGAGTTGCACACTCAGCCGGTTTGCTTTCCTTCCAGTCACTGCAGGACAGATGATCAACCTGTTTTTAAAGGAACCAGATTATAAAAGGAAATGACCTCTATCATATGACAGAAGCCACTAGTGCAGAGATAGGTGTCCAGTGTGTGTGTGTGTGTATAAAATCACAGTCGTGTCTGACAGGAGATTAGATGCATGCAGATGTGAAGTAAAGCACACAGCTGTACAGATGAGTTGTGCTGATATTATGCAGTAGATGTGAGCAGTGTTTCTGACCGTCTGATGCGTATGTGGCCAGAAATGACAAGAGCTGCAGGTGAAATTACTGTCGAGTGACTGGATTTACTGGGGTTGTGGCATTAAAGATGCTTAAAGATTGAGTTTGAGGCTCTTTTAGTAGCAAAGAAAACTAGACTTGACAAAAAGATAGATTAAAAAGCAAGAAATCTATATTGAATGAACTGCGTATCGATTTTTAAATCCCAAGATTGATCTTTTAGTCGGTGCTGGTTTCAGCTGTCGTGTGTGCAAATTAGTAATCACAATATGCTTTGTGCTTTGTTGATTTTTATGTCAAACAAAGTGTCAGCTTTAATTCAATCAAGAAGTTCAAGCTATAATTGTTTTAAGAAGCAGTAAAACTAACTGAAATGCATCACGTGACTGCGGAAAGACGTCAATAACACAGCTTGAATATTTCACGTAACGTTACATTTACCTCAGAAAAGCCATTCAGTGATCATAAAAGCGACCGTAAAATAACTCATTAAAGCTTTTTTATAAATATATGCTAGCTTATTTCATATATTTTTACTTGACCTGATAGTGTTGTCTATAAAATCCAAATTTTTAAGTTTATATTTTTACATTTCATAGTATATTTTCATAATATGTTTACATTTCTACAACGAACTGTATAGAAACATAAGTTTAGCACTAAATATTGATATAAAAACTGCCTAATGACTTGATTATTAGGCTAAAAAAACTGAAATTGAATAGTTTGTTGTTTAATCTTTATATTAATAGAGAAATAGAGAATGGATGAATTAATTAATTGATAGTTGTATTTGAGTGACTAATTATAACATTTTATATTGTATATTTTGTATTGTAATTCACCTGCTCGGGGACTAAAGCTAAATCTGGTGCAAAGCATCTTTAATTAATGTTTTTTGCACATTGTCCCTGTTGAAATAAATAAATAAATGAAATGAAAAATGAAATATTACTCTACTGACAAACTTCCATAACTGTGTCCATAACTTCCATATCTAAATAGTTTAGTTAAGAGATTGTTTTTCTTAATAAAATATTGACATGTCATGTACTGTACCTGATAGTATATCTAAAGGGCTGTGTGACATGGACATTGGACAAAACATTTTATTTTTTGTCTGAATGGTGATAATGACTATATTTATATATATATATATTCTTCTTATTGGGTCCATTTCAATATCGTTATCGAATATTGATGATTTTGACAACACTATTTCTCAACAAACATCCTCTCCCGCTGCCTATTCCCCACGATACAAAAACCTTAAATATTTTCTCCATCATGTCAATCTATTTTTGTGCTATTAACCTTCAGATAAATCACTCAAAATGGTTCTCAGATTAAACAAGCTGTTTAACAAATTCTCTTCCTGTATTCTTGGGCAGAACAAGCGACAGTTAAAAGTATAGCAATGTTTGTGTCCAACGTTAGCGTCACAGCGTTAGCATCACTGCCGTTCCGCTAACGCAGAGTGATAGTGATCATTGGTTCCTCTTTCACTGTTGTCATCCCAGCCTCTGTAGTTTGGATCGTCCTCACTGCACTGAACAGTGATGTCTGCTCCACGTCTGGCCTTTAAATGCCACTTTATTAAGACACACTGATGTGTGTGTGAGCGAGGTCTGTGAAGCTCATTACTGCCAGTGTTACAGTGGATGTCCACTCTCTGGTCTACATGCGTGACCCACGGGCAGTTCATTAATTTGTGATTCAAATCAATACGATACAGGAAGTGCAAATATGTAAATGTGGGTGTTTGTGATGTGTTGGAGTGTGTGTGTGGTGTAATTGGCTCTGACAGCGTCTCTCAGGATCCTCGGGGTCCAGCGCTTCAGAGCTGTCATTAAGATTAAGAGCTTTATAACTCTGCAGATCTGACGGCTCGCTCGCTCACGGCTCGGACGAAAACCAGAGATTTGTCCTGCTGCCTTAATCAAATTGAGTTTTTCTTTTCCTTCTAGTGCCCTCAATATCTCAAGTGTTTTATAGCTATTAACTTTTCAGCCAAGTGGCCTAGAAATAATTATTTTTGTCTCCTAGTTAAATGCACGCTGTGATTGCAGTTTCCATGCTTTTATGAGCTTTCTCCTGTCAGGCTCAAGTTTAATGAAGCTAGTCACTGTTGTGTTTAATATCAGGATAAAGGATGTGAAATAAATAGGAAGTGAGTTTCAATCGTTGCAAAAGTTTTGCATGCTTAAATTTGTCATCTGAATTAGTACACATACACATCTATCTATGTGTGTATACAAACACACATTTTTAATGTATATTAGAGCCAGACCGATATATCGGCAGAGCGATATTATCGGCCGATATGCATTTTCCAAACTATCGGTATCGGCAGTTATAATGGCCGATAAATGAATATTTCAAAAATAAAATAAAAAAACCGATGAAATACGCTTGAACCATGTCATGAGTGTTGTGTAGTTTGTCCACCAGAGGGCGCTCTACACCATTCCTGTTGGCAACACTCGTTGAGTTGGTCACGAGACATACATTGCTTGAATAACAATTAAAAGAAAATCCCCATCAGTTCTCTAAACTCAAATAAGCATGACCCAATTTGTGACTATCATGTCCAGTTTAAAATAAATAAATAAATAAATAAAATATCGGCCGATATATCGGAATATCGGATTTTAAAACCCCAAAATATTTGTATCGGTATCTGTCTTTAAAATACTTTATCGGTCGGGCTCTAATATATATATTAGGGGTGTAACGATTAACAAAATTCACGGTTCGGTGCAATACGATAAACACTTGTGTCACGGTTCGGTACGTTTCCGATACAGCAATAAGAAAGAAATGCCAGGGAAATTTCCTTGATTTAATTTTTTTAAAAATTATATTTGTATTAAAACTAACATCATAAAGTATTTTTTTTTTACTTTAAGCAATGATGGAGCTATATTTGACTTTTCTTAGGAGCTTATAAAACAAATCAGCTCCTTGGACAAAATTAAATGTAATATTGTAGTAGTTATAAACAAATTTTAGTTCAGATTAGCATTTGAGAGCAGTAATTGTATTCATAATGTCAAAATAAAACCGAAGTGATGTTAAATTGAAAGCATTTTATTCTACCTGCCAAACTTCTGTGGTTGCAGTTAGTAGTGTTACTACAGTAAACCCATGGTGAATGTTGCTGATCTGTGGACACTGAATAGTTCATTCATGGCACAAGGTTTTCACGTCAGCACGGTTTGATCTGTTATAACGCATTTTGAAGGCCGATACAAATATTTGTTGGTTTTAAAATCCGATATATCGGCCGATATTTTTTTTCCCCCCATGCACAACAAAAAATGAACAGATTTCCCTAACATTAGTTCTTTATGAGTTTTAACTAAAATAATATGATAATTTTATAAAGAAACTTGTTTCTTTTATTGTCACAACAGAACAGACTGATGAGTGCCCTCTGGTGGACAAACTATACAACTCCAACACTCATGACATGGTTCAAGCGTGTTTCGTCCGTTTTTATTTTATTTTTTAAATATTCATTTATCGGCCATTATAACTGCCGATACCGATAGTTTGGAAAATGCCTAATATCGGCAGATAATATCGGCCTGCCGATATATCGGTCTGGCTCTAATTTGAAATTCGGCAGGAAAAATGGTCCAACGAACCGTTCGGTTCAAAAAATGCGTACCGAACGGTTCAATACGAATACGTGTATCATTACACCCCATAAATATATACATATAATTTTGTTTTTTTCACTGTAAATTATACAATTTGTTATTTTTCACTTCCAAATACTGTAAATTTAGCGGTATTTTACAGTAATCTGTGGTTACTGTATTTGGTGTATACGGTATCTGTGATTTGTAATAGGAGAAATCATTAGAGAGTATATCACATTTATATATGTATATCACATTTATTTACCGTATAGGAAACTTTCTGTTAACCAGTTAACAGTTTTCACTGTAGCATTTTTACAGTCTTTTAAACTCACGAGTCACGATCATTTTTACAGTGTAAAGAAGAGTCAATGAACTGAATCACTCGCAGTGGCCCGTGTGCTGGACTGGTGTCTCCCAGTTTAGAGGATGTTGTGAATAATTAGTTTCTGTTTTTTAAGTTAAGCGGAACATTGTTTGTGTTGCAGGATTACTCAAGTCTTGACGTTTCCCGTTTGTTCAGTCACATGCGTTAGATGTGTGATGCTGTCTCCGTTGGTGCTTGTCGTTCTTGTCTCATAATGCCTCTGACAGGACACATTTGTTCTGGTATTACTCATGTGTCGTGTGTGTGAGTTGCATAATTTTCTAAATGGCGTCTGGAGTCCAACTGCATTAGTGTTTCATAAATGGTGTGATTATATTCTTCTGTGCTAAAGGTGGATATTGTGCGCCTAATATATCGCACAGGCAAAGGAACGTCTCGACTCGAGGGTGAGTGAAATTACTGTTTTCACACTTTGTTCAGCGATTTGTGATGGCAAAATGTAGTTTTATTTGAATAACTGTTGGTGTTTTGAGGACAAATTGGCAAAAAATCTGTCTGTGAACAATTGGCATTAGAGTTCAGTTCGGAAAAGGCATTTCTTGGCTGGATGTTGGATATTTTTTCCTTCATTAAAGGAAAGTTCACCCTAACATGTAGAAATATCATATATATGTTTTCTTTGTTTCTTTGTTCCCCCATGTTATAACACAAACTATTTTTGTCTTGTAAAAATGTCCTCAAAATGAACCCGGTAAGTGTGCAAATTTAACAAAATCTGAGAAAATAGTCTGCAATGCATTGACTTACCTGAACTTTAAAGAGTACTAAACCCTCTTTTTAGTAATATTGTGTCTTTAGTAAGCCAAACAATTAGAAAATAATAATAATTTGTTGTTATTATCATTATGCTTAATGCTAATATAAATAGCCTATATATAAAAAAGAAGCACTGTAAAATATTTTTTTTTCTTTAAATAAATAATTTTTTTTTAAAAAAAGGAATCTGTTAAATCTGATTGTATCGCATAAAACTGAATAAAGATTAATATTAATATATATTTTGTCCAATTTCAGTGTTAAGCTAATTTAAATTTATATATATAATATTTTTTTTTTATTACAAAATATTTACGCAAAGTTTTTGGAAACTTAACAAACCAAAGTTTGAGCAGATATTTATATTTATTTGTTTTATTTCTTTCTTTTTTCCCCCATGTAACAAACTATTTTTTTTTCTAGTAAAAATGTCCTCAAAATGAACCCGGTAAGTGTGCAAATTTAACAAAAACAGAGAAAATCTCTGTAATGTCTGCAATGCATTTGACTTGTACCTGAACTTTAAAGAGAATTCACATTGGTGTTTTAGTAAGCCAAACAATTATAAAATAATGTTGGTGTTATAATGCTTAATGCTATGATAAATAGCCTGTATATTAAAAAGAAGCACTGTAAAACAAATAAATATTTCATTAGTCAAAATTGGTCAAAAAATGAATCCGTTGAATCTTATTCTGTTGCATTGAACTGAATAAAGATTAATATTAGTCGGCCCAATTTCAGTGTTGCTTCAATAAAATTGTGGTTATTTTATTTTTTTTGACTTGTTTTTTACCCCAGTATTATTAAAATGATTGAATTTCAATTAAAAAGTTTATATACACACACTTTTTTAATTACAAAATATTTACGCAAAGTTTTAATCAAGTTTTTTGCAAACTTAATCCAAAGTTTGGGCAGATATTTAATCAGGAAAGCAGGTTCAAATACCAACGGATGCGAATACACCCACATTAACCACACTTTTGCTGATAAATCAGTCCTTTTCTGCCATCTTCTAGCTGGTTATCATGCTGATCTTTCCCAATTTCCAGTTTACGTCAAACTGCAAAGACGACCAAAATGTAGTGCATGTGACTCGTCTGTTTTCCAAGTCTTAAGTCACACTGTATGATGCTTTGTGTGACAAACGAATAATATTCTTGCCTCAGACTTTAGTGTCAACTTTTTATTTAAGGCAATGACGCTGGTCTTGGTTTGCATGAAGGGCACGACTACGGCTGATGGCCTGAGTATAACCCGTTTCTCTCTTTGTGGGCTGTCCATTAGTAGTGTGCTACTTTGTAAACAGAATAAAAGCTTTTCTAAATGTCAGTAGAAATCATCAATATCCTTTTATCCTCCTCCTGGATAAATCCTACCTGAACAACCATCAGGACACCTCCACATGAAGAGCATCGCAGAAAACAGCAAATCAAGTGACAGAGCTAACATGCATTGAGTTTAAAATAGATAAAAGTCCAGACGCATCACTGAAAGAACTCGTCAATCTGACGTGGATTCACACTATTGTAATGCACGCCACAAACAAGGTTATTGGGAACATCTAAGTAATGATACAACATTGATGTAAACAATATTTGCTTCAGTGTTGATGGTGAGTCATTTGAAAAGGTTCAGGAAACGTCATGTTGTGTTGAAAAATGTCCCGCTTCAACCTCTTTGAATGGCTTTACTTCGCTCATTTCCAGAAGTCAGGGTTCACGGTTTTGTAAGCTGAGGTTCATGACATCATGTATTTGAAAACTAGTTTGAACGAGAAACAGTTTTTTCGGACGCAAGCAAGTCCTGTTGTGTTTGAAAGAGATCGAAAGTCGTGACACAGCCTAGGTGTGTGTGTGTGCTCAGCAGATAGCCGTTAGAGTGTGTGTGAGAAAGGAACAAACTTGTGTGTTGATTGGTTTTCTTTTTCCTTCAAAGTAGGCTATAGTTGAGTTGTGTGAAATGAATGACTAGGTCTGAGGGGAGTCATAGTGAGCCTCAATATGACTGAACACTGCATGTTTCTGAATGATAACTGCATGCTGAACATTAAGGGTTTTATTTTTAAATTACATGAAAAATACTATAGATTTTTAATCTTGTCCATTTATTTTGTTGTAATTATGCACTATTGTTTAAAAGTTTTTGGGGTTGGTAATATTCTGTAACTTTTCAGAAAGTCTCTTCTGCACACCAAGGCCACATGATCAAAAATACAGTAAAAACTGTGATATTTTGAAATATTTGTATATATTTTTTTAGTTTAATTTATCCCTGTGATTAAAGCTGTATTTTCAGCGTCATTACTCCAGTTTTCAGTGCGTGATCCTTCAGAAATCACTATAATATGATAAGTTGCTGCTCATTTTATTATCTATAGTGTTAATAACAGTTGTGCTGCTTCATATTTTTTTTTTCAGGATTCTTTGGTGAACAGAAATTTCAAAATAACAGCATTTATTTGAAATAGAATTTAGTGATGGACCGATATTAACTTTTTTTTTTTTTTTTTTTTGCCGATACCGATAATTCTTTAAATCGAAAACCGATATATTGGCCGATAAATCTAAAACCAAGTTTTTAGATAATTTTTTAATCTCCTGATAACAAAAATAAAAGTCTCCCCATTAAAAGCCACATCCCAGGCACACAATTATATATTTTTATATAACCTGTATTTTTTTTTTAAGTGATTCCACTTATATTTCAATCAATTTAAAACCATCATGACGAACAGTGCACATCTGAAGTGTCTCGGCTGAAGGAAATACTTTATTTATCGGTTTTAAAGTATTGGACATTATCGGGCCGATAACCATAACATAAAAAAATAAACGATACGGAGATATGGTTGCCGATAACTTGTGCATCCCGAATAATTTCCGAGTTTATCCCGAGTTATTTATTCAGAGTTATCCCGAGTTTGTCACATTTATAAAATTGAATAGACAATTTACCCAAAAATATAAAATCTGTCATCATTTACTCACCCTCATGCAACTCAAAAGATTAAATCATATGGGTTTGGAATGACACGACCAATTCACTGACAATTTTATTTTAAACCACTAGTCAACCATGCTGACGCATCTATACAACACTGCACAAAACGTGTCCCGCATCTTGTCGTTCTGTTTCCCTCAAACATTCATCTGTAGCCCCTGAAGCTCAAAGTCCGACAAGCCTTGTGTTTCAGACGGGACTCCTGCCATTACTGTGGTGTGTGTGTAGGAGTGTTTTAATGTGTCTGTGGATTTACTGAGATGTCCTCAGGGTTGTTTCTGACGGGTCACGTTTGCTCTCAGAGGGCCGCTTCAGAAACAATCGTGTCAGATCCTCGCCTGTTTCCCTCCCTCTGAAACCCTGCAGTTGTGTGTGTTTGTTTGTATTGTTTCAGTGGCATGCGTCTGGCAGCACTGGTCGAAGCAGACTGGGCGCATTTCCCACACACCCCTCTAAAACACAAACCTCCTGCGCTCTGATTGGCCCTCGTGCCGCCCGGGTATGTGTGGGTGGGTTGGGCTTAGGCGTTTTGAAACAGGAAATGAAAGGTTTGTGCAATGAGAGCAGTCGCTCTGTGGGTGTGCTGGGATATTCCTCAGTCATTCGGACTTCGGACGGTAAGTGCACTCAAAATAAAACATGCCGTCTGTCAGGAATTATGAGGAATGTTCGTGTGGATGTGTTTGTTAATGTTTCATGTGTGCGGTCATGTGAGTCTCACACTCAACGGGAGACTGAAGTGTGTGTGTTGATTTGAGTTGGAGAACGTCAAAGTGATCTTGTAGATCTTAATCTGCTCTTATGATTGACAGCTTTGTGGGTTTCTTCTTGTTAAAGGTTTGGGAATAGTGCACTTATTGGCAGGCTTCAATGCGGACTCACATTTAACATGTCTAAACCAAATACAAAAAGTAATCTGTAAACGGGTGGATGGATATGCTTAAAGGAGCAGTTCACTTTTGAAAAAACTTTGGCTGATAATTTGCTCACCCCCATGTCATCCAAGATGTCCATGTCTTTCTTTCTTCAGTCGAAAAGAAATTAAGGTTTTTGATGAAAACATTCCAGGATTTTCTCCATATAATGGACTTCAATGGGGTCCAAACTGTTCAAGGTCCAAAAGACAGTTTCAGTGCAAACTGTTCAAAGGGCTTTAAACGATTCCAGACGATGAACATGGGTCTTATCAAGCGACACGATCGCTCATTTAAAATTTTTTTTTTTTTAATATAAGTTTTATAAGCTCAAATGGTCGCCTTGCTATGTTCAGTGATGTGCGTCCGACGAATGACTCTTCTGTTCGAACTCGTTCATCAAAATTAATGAATCTTTTTTTCATTCAATGTTCATTCAATGAACGAAATGAACGAGTTGACTCTGGAAAAGATTCGTTCATTTTGATGAACGAGTTCGAACAGGAGAGTCACTAACATGCATCACAAAACAGAGCAAGGCGAGCATTTGAGCTTATAAAACTAAAATTTTGTAATTTTTTTTTAAATGAGCGATTGTTTCGCTTGATAAGACCCTTATTCATTGTCTGGAATCATTTAAAATCCTTTGAACAGTTTGTAGTTTGCACTGAAACTGTCTTTTGGACCTTGAACCGTTTGGTCCCCATTGAAGTCCATTATATGGAGAAAAATCCTGGAATGTTTTCATCAAAAACTTTAAGAAAGAAAGACATGTACATCTTGGATGACATGGGTTGAGTTGACATTAGTTTTTTTTAAAGTGAACTACTCCTTTAAGCTTTTTGAAATGGGAGTTTCAAGTCAGAGCACATTTTATTTGCTGATTTTTTTTGGTAAAATTCACGTTAAAATAAGCTGATAGTACTACAGTTTAATTGGTGGAGCGCAAGGCGATATATACTCTGATTCTTTTAATTTCAGTGCAATATGTTACAGTTATTGCCCATCTCTGTATGTAAATTTGAATATAAAAATATGCCTGTCCAGCTTTATTCACATGCATACAGTATACTCACGTAGGGTGATATAAACTATAAAGTGAATCTTTGTATGAAATATTTCCGCCCAGCTCTAATCTGCTTAATGTGACTAAGGCTTGAAGATATTATAAACACAAACCTGCTTTAAGATGATGTGTATTGTGAAAAGCTCTATACAAATACATCCGAGTTGGTAGATTAAATTGTAGTCGGATTATGCAAATGAAGGGGGCGGGGCATGCATAGGAGTCTGTGAATGATGGGCGTTGAGAGTTTTGACCTCATCATGTGATTCAAAAGAAAAACTGGCTTGGCAAACACACTGAATCAGAGGATAGTGTTCGTGTTCCTCCGTATGATTGAGAAACCTGTTAGATATCCTGTAGGTTTTCTGAGAATGGTGTTTTGAGATTAAATCCTCTTCTGTGAACGTCTATCTCTATATCTTTATTGGTCTTTTTCTCTGTTCTTGTTATCAGTCTGAAGTTTTTTGATCTAGATTGATTTGATTTTAAGCCTACGGCGGTTTGAGGTTTCTCTGTAAATTAAGGTCTCCTCCGCTCATCTTGCTGAAATCTGGGTTGTGGCCAGCGGGTGATGGATGTTTTTAGATCTGGTCGTTTCGAAACAGACGCCGCTCTTGTTTTAGATTCTGCCACTCATACGTGCCAACAGAGCGTCTGTTTGATAGACGTGTCATGTGTTACTGTGTGATTTCACTTTTTTATTTTTTTTAAGACAAACAGTGTGACCAAGCAACACAAATAATGGCGAAAAAGTGTTCACGCTGACTGATGCACATCTTTGATAAACTTTGCATTTTTAATTTTATGTGGATTTAGATTTTAATATATAATGATATGTAATATGTTGTTGATATTATCATACACACACACACACACTATTATAATTCGTTACTTTTTGTAATTTACTTTTTCCCCCCGTTTACTTTTGTCTCATTTCATTGCAAACCCATATGACTTTCGTTCATCTTTATGAATAAAAGCATAAACTAAATTATATAAAGTGATCGAGTCTCTTCAGAACATTTGGACTAAACCGCTCGATTCATATGGATTAGTTTGACGATCTCTTTGAACTTTTTGAAGCGGCAAAATGCCATTTTTTTGCAATGACATGAGGGTGAGTAATTAAAGACACACACTTTTTGGGTGAACTATCCCTTTAACACGCATTCCTGGTCTAAAAAAAAAAAATTGAAAAATTAAAAAATTAATTTCACCCCTGAAACATCATTCATTTGCTGCTGATGTCATCAAGGCCTGTCATAACTCCTCTCCTCCGCTCGTTTAGCTCCACTTTTCATGATCCAGTCAGCTCCAGATGGAAAAAAAATCAAGTTTAATTTTAATATATCGCATTCCAGAAGTAAATCTGGTTGCCAGTGGCATATTAAGCACCGCCCGATTGTTTACAAGCTAAAATTGTTCAAATTTTATTGTGTGTTGAATGACATTTATGTCTTTGTGTCAGTTATAGTTTCGTGAGCGTATCCTGGATGTTTAAAACAACGGGGCGGTTCTTGCGCCTACGTCCAGCGTGACCTTTCCAACGTGATGATGTAATGCATGGCGCATTGCAGACCAGCACAAGGTTAAAAAGTATATAAATGTTGTTGGGTTTTTTTTTAGAAAATGAGCGATGGTTTCGCTAGATAAGACCCTATTCCTCAGCTGGGAACGTACAAACCCGCTTGAAGCACTTCGTAGCTCTTTGATTTGGACTTCAACAATTTGGCTACCGTTGAAGTCCATTGTGTGGAGAAAAATCCTGAAATTTGTTTCCTCAAAAAAACTTAATTTCTTTTCCACTGGAGAAGTAAAGAAATTAACATCTTGGATGGCATTGGGGTGAGTAAATTATCAGGAAATTATAATTTTCAGGTGAACTAATCCTTTAAAGGGGCACTATGCAGGAATCCCGTTTTTGTCAAAACAGCGACCCCTAGAGTCGCTGTGCAGTACTTGAATTTAACCTTACTGTCGTAAATACCACTCCGTGGTGTGTTACATAGTATACAATAGTCATTGTGTTTAATTTGTCTTTTAATGAGATCTAACATGTTTTCTTGTGATTACGTACATACATCCGACAATTATCCCCATGAACTTTAATGGTCCAGAGGCAGAACTTTTAAAAAATAACCATTTCAATAACTCTGAAGCTGTTCAGTTAAGCTAAAAAAACATCTCACTTTACTATGGCAGCAACTGTGCAGAATCTGCTAAACTCTCTCTGAATCATCCGCTGTTGGCGTGTGGGTTGCGTCTGTGGTGGCAGGTACCGGTTTACCGTCTGCGGGACGTGTCGAGGGCTCTCATTAACGTCTCTACACCCCGTACTCCTCCCTCAGCTCTCAGTGAGACGCAGCAGGACACCGTCTTCACCTCTCCGTGGGCTTTAATCAGGCTCTCTGCAGTCATTCCAGCAGTTTGAAACCACCAAGTCTCAGGATTGAGCTCTAATTATACGTTTGTCATGTTGCTGAATCTAAAAAGCCTCATGTTTAAACAAATCTGTCACTGGAGGTCCAGGATTTATCGTTTCCATTATGGAGCAATCAGATTTTAACGCTCATGTAATGGTCTGAGTGAGCTCTCTCTCCGGTGCTTCTGTACTGTGGACTATAAACTGTACACTGTGGTTGGGCTGAAAATATTGATTTCTTGGTTTTAATGGATTCTCATTTAGATGAACTGATATCGTTTCTAAAATCCCAAGAATCGATCTTATAGTCTATGTGGTTTTCAGCTGATGCATTAACAACTTCAATTTGAAAGTGTCTACTTTCAAATTCTGTCAATTTCGAGGTGGCTTGACAGACACTGTAGCACGTATACCAATGCACGTCTCTTCCTCTTTAATATTAGTAGTTATAGTTATAAATGTGAATGAACATCAGAAAGTATGTTGAAAGACACAGCTTATTGAAATGTATGTCTCGTGTAATTGCCGTTCAAACGTGGAAAGAGGTCAATAAAAAACGATGTCACGTAATGTTACATTTAATTCAGGAAAGCCATTCAACGACTGTAATTCAACGATTGTAGTTCAACTCTTTCACCACCATTGACAATTTCTGTCATTTGTGAGAACGCGTCCAGTCCTGCTTTCTGTGTTTTACTGGCTTGACAGACACTGTAGCACCTCAGTTCAAGCGGTTATAAGTTATAGTTATAGAAATAAACGTGAATGAACATCAGAAGGTATGTTGAAACTGATACAGCTTATCGAAATGTAT